GGGAGTTGCATGTGTGTGTTGGGGAGAGGGAGTTTGATGATTGTGTTGGAGGAGAGGAGTTTGAAGTATGTGTTGGGGAGAGGGAGTTTGATGTGTGTGTTGGAGGAGAGGAGTTTGATGTGTGTTGTGGTGCGTGGTTGGGGGAGAGGGAGTTTGGTGCGTGTGTTGGAGGAGAGGGAGTTTGGTGTGTGTTGGAGGAGAGGGAGTTTGGTGCGTGTGATGGGGAGAGGGAGTTTGGTGCGTGTGATGGGGAGAGGGAGTGGTGGTGTTGGGGAGAGGGAGTTTGGTGTGTGTGTTGGAGGAGGGAGTTTGATGTGTGTGTTGGAGGAGAGGAGTTTGTTGTGTGTGTTGGAGGAGAGGGAGTTTGTTGTGTGTTGGAGGAGAGGAGTTTGATGTGTGTGTTGGAGGAGAGGGAGTTGGATGTGTGTGTTGGAGGAGAGGGAGTTTGGTTGTGGGGAGAGGAGTTTGTGTGTCTGTGTTGGAGGAGAGGGAGTTGGATGTGTGTGTTGGGGGAGAGGTAGTTTGATGTGTGTGTTGGGGAGAGGGAGTTTGTGTGTGTGTGTTGGAGGAGAGGGAGTTGATGTGTGTGTTGGAGGAGAGGGAGTTTGGTGTGTGTGTTGGAGGAGAGGGAGTTGGATGTGTGTGTTGGAGAGGGAGTTTGGTGCGTGTGTTGGGGAGAGGGGTTGTGTGTGTGTTGGAGGAGGGAGTTTGGTGTGTGTGTTGGAGAGGAGTTTGATGATTGTGTTGGAGGAGAGGAGTTTGAAGTATGTGTGGGGGAGAGGGAGTTTGATGTGTGTGTTGGAGGAGAGGAGTTTGATGTGTGTGTTGGGGGAGAGGGAGAGAGGCGTGTGTGTTGGGGAGAGGGAGTTTGATGTGTGTTGGGGAGAGGAGTTTGATGTGTGTTGGGGAGAGGGAGTTTGATGTGTGTGTTGGGGGAGAGGAGTTTGATGTGTGTGTTGGGGAGAATGAGTTTGGTGTGTGTGTTGGGGGAGAGGGAGATTGGTGTGTGTTTGAGGAGAGGGAGTTGGATGTGTGTGTTGGAGGAGAGGGAGTTTGGTGTGTGTTGGGGGAGAGGGAGTTGATGTGTGTTGGAGGAGAGGGAGTTGGTGCGTTGTTTGTGTGTGTGTTGGGGAGAGGGAGTTTGGTGTGTGTGTTGGAGGAGAGGGAGTTTGGAGCGTATGTTTGGGAGAGGGAGTTTGGTGTGTGTTGGAGAGGGAGTTTGGTGTGTGTGTTGGAGGAGAGGAGTTTGATGTGCGTGTTGGGGAGAGGGAGTTTGATGTGTGTGTTGGAGGAGGGAGTTTGGTGTATGTGTTGGGGAGAGGGAGTTTGATGTGCGTGTTGGGGAGAGGGAGTTTGATGTGTGTTGGAGGAGGGGAGTTTCGTGTGTGTGTTGGAGGAGAGGAGTTTGATGTGTGTGTTGGAGGAGGGTATACTGCAGATAGATATATGAGACCATTGTATTGTCTCTATGTTTGGGAAGAATAGTCCTTTATTCTTCATTCTTTTTCTTTGCATTTTTCCCCCATTTTCTTTCATTTCTGTTATCTTCTGTTTATTCGTTTTCTTTCTGTTCTTTACTGCCTTCAAAATCTGGTCTTCATGCTATCCTCTGAACCATTTGAGTTAACGTGACCTAAGATGAGCCACATCTACCATACGATAAGTTCACACGTTGAGTTTCAGGTCACGCTTCACAGGTCAATGTTACGTCTTCATATGCTAAAATATAGGGATTATTACACCTCTTAATCACATGAAATGACCTCAATTGAACACTTAGCAAAGGTCAAAGAGTGCCACTAAGTAGGGTCACGGTGAGGTGGTGCTGTAATAGGCATTAAGTTACATGTCTGACACAGCTTCATGACTGTATGGCCAACTGTGTTTGGGAGTCAGGTGTATGTATGTATGTATGTATGTATGTATGTATGTATGTATGTATGTCATGGCGACCTGTGGTGTAATGGACAGCATGCTCTCTTTGCAAGCAAGTGAACCCGGGTTCGATCCCCGGGCAGGTGTGAAACTATGGGCAATTTTCTTTACGCCATTTGCCTCTGTCTACCCAACAGTAATTGGGGAGCTGGATATTAATCGATTTGTGGGTCGTTTTCTGGGATAATGGTTAGCCAGTGCAGTTGGCGAGTTGTCCGGTCTTCTCAGACTATTCCTTGACACTGGGTCATACAACTCGTTAACTAAGGGTGTGGTTGTTGTGTTGGCTATGCTTCTACACCTAAAACACATTCACGCCTAGGTGGCCCTTAGGCCGGCCATCCTCGATTTTGAGGGCTTCCATTATGTATGTATGTATGTATGTATGTACAGACAGTATGTACAGTTTCGACATTCTTGACGGAGCATAAAAGAGCTGCCGTAATTCTTAAACAGTAAATTTGTATTCAAAAGAAAAGAAGAATTTTTTAATAAAACACTGACACTGATTGCGAGTAATACTATATATATAATCTTGTGTGTAAGTTATATTGTATAGCTTAGTTAAACCATTAATCTCTCTCTCTCTCTCTCTCTCTCTCCTCTCACACACACACACACACACACACGTCCAGTACAAAACAACGTCCCACTGTGCACGCCAAAAATGTCAGGTCCACTAACCCTGGTAACTTGTTCCTGCCACACACACTATACAGTAATGCACAGATTCGTGGAAACATGTCGTCGTGTTGTTTGTTTACGTTCACAGTCCACACCAACGACTGTCAATAACTTGTTACTAGTTATTGAAGTACAATTTATGTTTACACACACACTAGATTACTTTCAAATAGTTACTACTTTATCTACCTCACAGCTGTTGATAAGTATAACAGTATAACTCTATTAATAGTTATACAGTCAGTAGGAACATCTGTCTTATGAGGTTATAAAAAAATATTGACTCATTCTCTTATTTTGCCACACACAAAATACTCATTAGGTCAAGGTTGTCCACATTAGTCGAGGTGGTTTGCTGCTTCAACTATATGCATTACATGTATTCCCCGGTGATATACCAACCCTCAATGTGCTCTAGTCTCAGCTGATTACAATCCTGAGGGCTGTATTTACGTCTCACGTTTGTTTATAGCTCATGAAGCCACTGTGACGTAATTCTGTCCCCTTCCCTCCTTCCTCCGCGTGCTTCTCAACAGTAATCTCCGACTTACACATCAAATTCATGGCCAAAAGAATTCACATTAATATCTTTCACTCACGTCAATAGTCCGGGACCTTGCCATAGAGTATAGCTGTATAGGAGGCGCCGTTATTTATAGTATGTGTCAGTAACGAGGTCTATAGAGGCAATGTGGCCATCCTACCACAATGGACTTTTTTTAGTGACAACATAGTTCAGGTAAACGTAGCAGCTTTCCGCCATATTGGAGGGCATCGATTTACAGTACAATTAGTTAGTGAGAATTGTTGAGAAGTTCACACAGTTATTAGTGTTCTTGACTTTCTTTGTTTTGTTTTTTAGGGTTCCGTAAGGAACATTTCAACAGTGTTCCTTGAATCTTAAAATTTCTATGGTAAAAAAAACAACAGACAATTTTAGAAAAATCTATAGGAGTTTTTTATGCTTGACGTTATTATTTTTAATCTTACTCGTGATGAATATCAACTTGTAGTTTATTGTTATTTTAATTCGTTCAACAAGTAAGAACAGAAAAGTTATGTGCTGTAGACTTGGTCGATCAATGGGTCGGTCTTACCTCCCCTGACTATGTTCAGTAAAAATAACACATCTTTAGAGGAGCTGAAGAACTACTTACGCCTTTAACGAACTAAACACCAGTTTGGGTGATGAGAGATATTTGTGTCGGTATCCACAACAAGCGCCAGTGTTTACCTTACCACCCTGGCGGGGTAGATGAATGCCGTGCCTAAAGAGTTCGGTATGTCCTCAATTAACTGTGTCAAGTCTATCAGCTGAAGATCCATTTGGCTGCAAAATAAATTAATTGCAGTGACATAGTGTACACTATTATGAGACAACTTAATCTTTAAAAGGCCCATTAAGGTGGGAGCAAATTTGGTTTACCGATTAATTTAATACGTACGGAAGTTAATAGGACCTACATATAAATGTGTATATTTTCATTTATTTCAACAAGCCTGGACAAGTGTCATTAACGCCTTTCTGACATATAAATTCTGTGATCATATACCAACTTCAAGGTGAAATAAACCACGATCAAGCCCCGAATTGTCTCCATAACACCATAAAAGTAATGAAGTAATGTAATTCGTAAACAAACCACACGACCTTGATCACAGTGTATTAAAAGACCATCAAATACTTTCACATTGTTCCTTATGTTTGACGAGGTGATCACAACACAGGCGGAAGTATAATGTAAATGTCCTCAGGCTTTCAACACCATCACTGACACATCTCCTGGTCTCATACGCTGTCTAGTTTTCCTGTTTTTCACTTGGTGTCTTTCCCAGGGTAGTGATGATGACTGGCAGACGAGAAAAACAAAAACATTCTCTCTCTCTCTCTCTCTCTCTCTCTCTCCAGTTACCGAGTCTCATAATGTCACAAGAGAGCATCACTGATATATTGTGTAAAGTATCACATTGGGCGCCTCTAGCCACACAAGCATGACGTCTTCCAGTAGAGCAGCGTACATTTTTATATCTAGCGAACGTACACGAGCGACCACTCCTTGTCCAGAGGTTAGGTTAGGTGTGCAGTGGTTAGGTTAGGCTTTGTAGTAGTTTGGTAGGTGTGTAGTAGTTAAGTTCGGTTAGTTTAGTGTTGTTATAATTAGGTTAGCTAGGTGTGTATTAAGTTAGGTTAGGTTTGCAGTCGTTAAGTTAGTTTAGGTTAAGTTTTCAGTTGTTAAGTTAGGTTACTGTAGGTTCCCAGAAGTTAGGCTGAGTTCTATTATATTTCACACTAAGACCTGCTGTACCTTCTCTAGGTTACTTTGATCTCCGTTTAATACTAAAATAAAAATCACCTTCATCATCATCTTCTACTATTACAGGCGTAGACAGTGAAATGATCTCGGTGGAGTCGGACTACCAGTACGGGTATGTGTACCTGCGTGAGCGTCTCAACTCCCGCAAGAACTACACCTTCGTCCTCACGGTAACTGACACTGCTGGCGACACTACAGAGGTTGTATCCAGGATCATCCCCACCGACGGCAGGACCGCGACTTCAGACATCTTCCTGAAGTACTCCGCCTCAGCTGTTGTTGCGGAGGTCAGTAACACACACACATAGTATACTGGAGTGGAGGTGTTGGAAGAATTATAATAATTTAGTTCATCTTCAGGTATATTTGGGTTTTTTTCATGGAGGCTATTTGACCACCGCCATGATAGTTCAAGATTACTTGGGGATCAATAAGAAAAAGTTTTAGGACACTACCAACAATATTTAGACAAACATGTAATTGAAAATGTTTTTAAGTCACTTATGGATGTTTTGGGATTATTTTTAAGTATTTAAGGTCACCTTTATGAGTCTTGGATTTATTAAGAAATAATTTTGGGTTATTAGTCTGGATATTTAAGGATTGCTGGAAAGGAAAGGTTTTAGGCCACTTTTATTAATATTTAGGAATTATTAGAATGTGTGACAGTAAGGTATCCCGTTTAAAAATTTGAATTGTTAATCGTCATCGTACAGTAACATCTCTCAACCCTCGTCACGAACACACTGACATGATTAGTTGAATTGTTTAACCGTTTCCGTGTAAGAACGAGTCTGAAATCTCACATGAATACACATGTCTTTAAATATTAACCCCATTCATTAGGATTTGAATTTTAACCGTATAACAATTCTTAGCGTTATTTCCTCTGAGATTATTCAGTTTTGAATTTTTTCAACCAAAGTATCTTGATGTATAAACGAACGTTGAGCCTTTAAACTCTAATTTGAATTATACTATAGATATCTCAACACAGTTACATGAATACAAACTTGATTACTGAATATTTAAACTACCAAACAAATTAAGTTTTATTAAATATTTAAATTATCGACCAGAAGTAAGAAACAGATTTGAGTATTGAATGCTTGAACTCAGGAATGCGCATTTGAAGTCACCTTTTAAATTCTACACAGTCAGAAGAGCCATCAGCAGTGAAGGGCGGCCACTTACAGCTCAGATATCATGACCCCAACCCAGCAATTGAGTGAGGGTAGGGCGGGACCGTGATGATACACCGCCACCACCACAATAACACAGTGGACTACCTGACCTGTACTGTCTGACGGCGAGACACACTGATCACACAGGGGGGTTTATAGTAGGTGTTGTGGGCCTGGCCTGAAGTGATGAAGTTTGACAAATGTTCTCCAGAGTAACACGCGATTGAGAAGGATTCTTAACCCTTTGAGTACGGTGACATAAACCTAGAGTATGACAACTTTTTTTGAGTACAACAATCCCATAAATACGATATCTGATCCCCATGAGTACGATGACTTAATTTCTTGAAAATGATGACTTACGGAATTAGCATCGTACTCGAGGGATTACAAAAATCGTACTCGGTAGGCTAATTCAGAGTGAAGACATCATACTCAAGAGGCTAATGGTAGTAGGCTGGAGGTGGTAACATCTTGTCAAGCTGTTATGGATGGTATACAACTTAAGAACTATTTAGTCCTGGTATACATTTTGATGCAGTTTCATAAACGTTCAGTATGAGTATCAGCAGTATATAAACCCGTTAATTTGTCTGTATTTACTATATATGATATACAGAATACATCATATTAATTATACATTGCATCACACAATCAGAAGTACCATCCTTACCAGTTGAACATGGCCTCAGTTAGTGACCGTTGCGAAGGCCGACTGCTGAAGTGGGTCTCCTAGCTACATACCTTCCCACCCATTGATATGTCGTTCAGTATCTCATATATGTTGGGTACAGTTTCAAACAGGAATGTAGAGGGACTATAGGTCGTTGATGTACAATATTAAGTTAACATGACCCCTCTCCTTCCTGCAGGACGCCAAAGTGGGTCACGTGGTCACTGTCTTCATCGTGAGGTCGAGTAAGCTCCTGTCGAATGCTGTCGAGTTCCAAATTCTGGTAAGTGTAAATAATGACCATTAACTACAGTGTTTATACAGATCAGCTGATTTTCCATCTATTGATTGTCAACACACATCAGCTGATCGTGGTGAGTTAAAACAGTAATCAGGTGGTAACTAACCAACTTGATAATACTAGTGGAGGACGTCTGCTGTTTACAATAAATAGCACAATTTGTGTTTATAATTTTCTGTGGCAGACGGACACCCACAGTTCAACGTGTCATAGATCATCTAATATGTTGACCTCAAGAATGTCTTATTGCTAGTAGGCTCGTGCGGTGGCGGCTCGTGTGGTGGCGGCTCGTGTGGTGGCGGCTCGCGTGGCGGCGGCTCGCGTGGCGGCGGCTCGCGTGGCGGCGGCTCGCGTGGCGGCGGCTCGCGTGGCGGCGGATCGCGTGGTGGCAGGGGTGGCTCGGGCGGCGGCTGTGTGGCGGTGGCTCGTGTGGCGGCGGCTCGTGTGGCGGCGGCTCGTGTGGTCCGCATTTCAAACTGGTCACGTTTTTGTGTACTGTATTATGATTTTTGTCAGTTTGTACAGCTGCTTCTCTCTAGCCGGTGTCAACAAACATCAGCTGACCATAGTGAAAACATCAACACTAACCACCTGATTCCCCCTCCCCCCACACACACACACACACTCCTAGCCTCCTCCTCACCTGGTGAAGATAAACACAAGTCAGCTGAATGTCTTCCCTCCCCTTCAGATGGTAATTAGTTGTGTGTGTGTGTTCGTGTTTCTCTCAAGGTTGGTCCTCATGTGGTTTTCTTGCCCTGCTTGTATGTAATAGAGTGATTCAGTCATTTACTGTAGGGTCAGGAATTTCTTATATTTACGAAGAGACAGCAAGAGAGATTAACCAAATTGCTTTTATCATCACCCTCCTCGTGTGACCAAGGCTGATAATGGTGATGGTGGTGATGATGGTGATGCCACTGGAACGTTAACGAGATATAATGAAGATGATGAGAATAACAGTTTTGTGAGTTTGTCTTGATATTCCTTGTGTGTGTGTGTGTGTGTGTGTGTAACCCCCCGCCCCCATCATTGCTGTTATTGTGGACTTTTTCGTATTAATATGAACTTGATGCGTTTGTAGAGGAAGAGGAGGAGCATGTGAGAACTATAGCTTGTTCGGTTAAGTTTTATCATCGGGTCACTCACTCTCTCACTTTCTTTCTGTCACTCATTTCTCATTCACTCATTATTTCGTTCGCTCTCTCTCTCTCTCTCTCTCTCTCTCTCTCTCTCTCAGTGCAGCCAACTCAGTCCTTGTCCGTAAAACACGTAGTATTAAAATTCAAAGGACTTCATTCCACTGATGACGTCACCTACGTCATCGTCGCCCTTGACGTCAGGCGGCAGGACGGTCAACAGCTGGGGAATGTTTGAGGTGTTCTTAACAGGGTAACAAGTATGGTCGTTCGTGTGAGTGTTGGTGCCAGTTAGGGTTCTACTAATACGTCCTGTCGTACTTAGGAAATACATTAAGATTTTTTTTGAACAATTCTCTATTTAATCATAGTAAATAATAATAATAGTATGCATCATCATTAAGGGGACACATGTACAATACCTGTATATACTATATGAACCAATTTTCATATTTATTGTTCTAAATACAAGTATATTCTGTACAACTCAACACGACCTCTTGTTTCTGTTGAGTGACCTTTGACCCTATGAGTCTTTTATAAGGTCAGATTAATAGAAGGTTGATTAAGAAACAATAAAGGTGTCTGGTGTGTATCAGATCAAGGTGTACTTCTGGCTGGGGTGTTATGTTGAGGTGAGGGAGTGACGATTAGTTGTTTGTAACACACACACACACACACACACTATGACGTATTGACCAACAAAATTACGATTAATGGTTGGTTATGAATCATTTCTACCGAACCTAACAGTTCTGACCATCAGGTGAACACAATACGGTACACGTAACCTAACCTAACCTAGCGTGGTTAGGGGGTGTTACGGCTGACCTAACACCCTGATGAATAAGGTTTTGTTCATTCCTGTGTGTTAATGTTTTATTGCACTCCTGAATACGTTGTTAATCAAGCTAAGAGAAAATATATAATGGAAGAGAGATTAATTTTTCCATCGTATATTTTCTTCATCCTCATATGTTTATTATTATTATTATTATTATTATTATTATTATTATTATTATTATTATTATTATTATTATTATTATTATTATTATTATTTTACAGTCAGGGTAACTAGCGCAATACGACAGTCACTCTACAACGAGATATAAGCCATTGACTCGGCACTACTTCAATGCGCGCGTAATAACTGAAATGAAAACACAATTTAATTCCGTATATAGTATGCTTAATTCATAAATATATTCGTCCATGATTTAGAATTTATTTGATATATTACAAAGGCTTCGTTCGCGTGTGTCATTTGGTTGTGTTGAGCCAAGTGTTGCTGTCTCGTGAAGGCAACTTTTATGTTCGATTTTCTCGCCAATTTTAATCAGAATGTTTTTCATCTCTTTAATAATTTCCCGCCTAGCCTGTATTGTTTCTTGTTTGTGTTCGTAGGCCGTAGTGTTGTGGCAAGGCAAGAGTAAACCTGTATATAAACCCTGGTATAGTGTCATGGCAAGAGTAAGTCGTTTTACCGATCTTTAGAGGGTAGCATAACCTGGGCTAGAACAGGCACTAGTCACGCCACAACAATTACCCCTCCTCTAACCAAGGACTCAGATGTGATTACTCTTACCTCCACGCGCCGGACTGAGTGTTAATATATATATACAGTATATGTGCACGTTACAGGGTGTGTGAAAAGCTTCTTCCTGGTGTGAAATACGTTGATTTAATTAAGACAAAATAAATAGTTGACTAAATACAGTATATCAAGAATTAGTTAAAAGACTTCTCAGGCACCTGGATACGTATGGTCCTTGGATAGTTACCTGCTTGGATGTTGCTAATTAACTGCTTTTACCTGCCTGTCTTCCTGCCTATTGCTGTCTGTTTAATTAAGGGGAAATTTTACCTCAGCCAGCGAATGTTACAGGCGCCATATTGGATTTAGCTGCTCCCTCCCCCTCTCCATTTATTAGTTGTTACTCGTTGACTGAGGACTTACGAGTGACTTTATTTCATTCGTGGTTCATAGGTCAAGGCCACTGATAAGAGGTCAAAGGTCAAATGTTTCTTTTCTTTTCATTACCTTCTCAAGTATCTAACTCTACCTTCCTAAGTCTCTACCTTAACTCTACCTTCCTAAGTTCCCATCCTAAGTCTCTACCTTAACTCTCTACCTTCCTAAGTTCCCATCCTAAGTCTCTACCTTAACTCTCTACCTTCCTCAGTTCCCATCCTAAGTCTCTACCTTAACTCTACCATCCTAAGTCTCTACCTTAACTCTCTACCTTCCTAAATGCCTACCTTAAGTTCCTATCATAAGTCTCAACCTTCCTAAGTTCATTTAAGGGTATTTTAAGGGCGTCTCTATGGGTCTGTAAGAGGTTTTAAGACATTTTGTTTTAAGTTTTAGTTGGTTTAGGTGTGTGTGTGTGTGTGTGTGTGTGTGTGTGTGTGTGTATTAAGACACGTGGCGGGAGGTGCAGGGGTGTGGTCCGTGTCCTGGTCCTCACCCATGTCATCCGTGTTTATTAAGTGTGGACACGTGACCTGTGTGTCCTCCGTCAGTATGTCGAACCTCTTATCAGGGGAAGATCAGCTCCAAGTCGTTGTCAAAGGTGTTCACTGAGTCATCTCCCTGTTGACGACTGCTAGAAAACACCTGGAGATGAAACACCTCAACCATCTTGTCTTGTTATGGTTCTGTCTGTCTGTCTGTCTGTCTGTCTGTCTTCTCTAAACTCTCTCTCTCTCTCTCTCTCTCTCTCTCTCTCTCTCTCTGCATGCTACAGCGACAATATTACAGACTACATGAAGATTTATGGTCAATTGCAACCGTTACAGCAGAGATTATGTAATGTCGTTTAGAATTAGTGTCTCCTGGGATTACAATAGTGTCTCCCGGGATTACATTAGTGTCTCCTGGGATTACATTAGTGTCTCCTGGGATTACAGTAGTGTCTCCTGGGATTACATTATGGTGTCTCCTGGGATTACATTATGGTGTCTCCTGGGATTACATTATGGTGTCTCCTGGGATTACAGTAGTGTCTCCTGGGATTACATTATGGTGTCTCCTGGGATTACATTATGGTGTCTCCTGGGATTACATTATGGTGTCTCCTGGGATTACAATAGTGTCTCCTGGGATTACAATGAGTGTCCTGGGATTACAATAGTGCACTCCTGGGATTACATTAGTGTCTCCTGGGATTACATTAGTGTCTCCTGGGATTACATTATGGTGTCTCCTGGGATTGCATATGGTGTCTCCTGGGATTACAGTAGATGTCTCCTGGGATTACATTACAGTGTCTCTTGGAATGACATTAGTGTCTCCTGGGATTTACAATGAGTGTCTCCTGGGATTACATTAGTGTCTCCTGGGATTACATTGCGGTGTCTCCTGGGATTACAGTGAGTGTCTCCTGGGATTACATTAGTGTATCCTGGGGGATTACTTTAGTGTCTCCTGGGATTACAATAGTGTCTCCTGGGATTACATTAGCGCTCCTGGGATTACATTAGTGTCTCCTAGGATTACAATAGTGTCTCCTGGGATTACAATGAGTGTCTCCTGGGATTGTGGCGCTCCTGGGTGTAGTAACCCCTGGGATTGTTAGTGTCTCCTGGGATTGCATTAGTAGCTCCTGGGATTACATTAGTGTCTCCTGGGATTACAATAGTGTCTCCTGGGATTACAATAGTGTCTCCTGGGATTGCATTATGGTGTCTCCTGGGATTACATTAGTGTCTTTCTGGGATTACATTTGAATGCTCCTGGGATTACAGCCCAATGAGTGTCTCCTAGGATTACAATAGTGTCTCCTAGGATTACAATAGTGTCTCCTGGGATTACAATAGTGTCTCCTGGGATTACATTAGTAA